ATCGAGGGTTGCCTACGTATCCAAAAAGGAAATCAGGTCAAACATAGTTCAGAATTACAAGGAAAAAAGAAAGGAATAAGGAAAGCTTTGGGCATAAGGTCGGAGAACAATAAAGCCAACTTTGTTCATAAGAGTCTTGTCCATATCAATTTCTCTGATGTGATTTACGCTTCCTTGTCAAGTGCCTAAAGTACATCTTTGTAGGATCTCCTTGAACGATGATTTATTCGCCATAGAAGGATTGCAATTGTTGTTTTGTCGTCCTTGTTGCACTATAATTTTTCCTTTTTCAATCATATTCTGAATCTTATTTCTCAATGCCACACATTCTTCGATGTCATGACCTTGAATGTTTGAATGATAGGCACAATTTTTGGATAGATCAAAGTTTGAAGTAGAGTGCTTGGGAATCCATCCATTTATTGGTCTTAGAAGTCCTTTAGCCCATAATCTCTGGAAAATGTCGGTCAAATTTTCCCTTAAGGGAGTGAAGACACGAGGTTTCCTCACCTTATGTTGAGATACCTGAGGGTTGGAAGGTTTAAGAATAGCATGAATTTGCTCAATATTCTGATTTCTTTGTTTTAGAAGTATATAGGTAGATGCATCTTCATTCCTTTCATCTAATGAGTCTTTCAGGACTTGAAAAGATTTTTGTGTATCAGCAATTCTTCCAGACTGAATGTCATATTCTAACTCTTTTCCAATTCAAATTAGACTGTCGAAACTTTGAATACCAGCAAACAATAGGGTTTTGTAGTATATACCCTCAAGTGATCTGATGAGAGTTTGGACCAACTCCACTTCATGCGGTAAGTGACGTATCTTGGAGGCTTCCATTCTTCATCGTATGACATATTCCTCAAAAGATTCATGACTTAATTTCTTCAATTTGAACAAATTTAACATTGTAGGGTCAACCTTGTTATTAAACTTGTATTGTTCCACAAAATCTCGAGCCATGTCTTCCCATGCGAGCCATTTGTCGAAGTCTTGTTTGACGTACCAAGTGAAGGCTATTCCTGATAAGCTTTGAATAAATAACCTCATTTGGAGAGGTTTATTGTTTTCTAAGCCAACTAGCCTGCTGCAAAAATCTTTGAGATGTGCCATTGGATCCCCACGTCCGTCGAACATGTTGAATTTTGGAATTTTAAATCCCGACGGCAATTCAACTCTTGGGTGTAGACATAAATTTTTATACCTTAAGTCATGAGTAGGTATTGAGTTTATTCCTCCATTCACCTTTTTCTCTAAGTCATGCATTTTTCGCTGCAGTGCATCTAGCTTAGACTTCTCTATTTTGTCACCTATTCCCTCATATTGTGAAGCATCAAAATTGAGGCGTGTTGGAGACCTTTGTTGAGAGAGGGTGTGAGTAGGAATAGGACGAGGAGAGATAGTCCAAAAGGTACTTTGTTGTGGACGAGAAGATGAGTGATTTTTTCGAAGGTTGAACATATTTGTCATGTTGCGAGTTCTTAGTCGAGACAAAATCCAAATACTAGACAACCTTTAGTCAAAGAAGCAAATCAAACATAAAAGCCAGTTATTATACAGTGAGCCAAAATTATAATTTCAAATGAATGACACAATACCCTCAAAGTGCGACAATTATAACAGTTAATAGAAAAAGACACATAATTGATTCAAGTTATACTTTGCCAATTTGAAGTTTAGAGTTGAAGAAAGACTTTAACTCCATTTTGACATAATGACTTGATTTAAAATATGATGATCAAATTGACACATAAATATGCAATTTGTCTAAAGGGTGTTGGGGCCCTTTAGACAATAAGGTGGCTACTAATTATATGGATTGACGTCAAGGACCAAACCACCTAGGGCTTATGCAGCATGTATGACTTAACCAGTACTTCTAAGAGTTGGCTTGACACGAACTTGAAAGGGATTCTATGCAAGAGGCTCGTGGCTTCGCGATAGTAAAACTATCTGTTACGTCCACGCATATGCCGACTCTCTATAATGGGTATTTGAATAGGATGGAATTGGAAACCTAAATAAGCCACAAAAGTGTAAAAATGACCAAAATAAGCCACTATTTTAGTTAGAAACTAAAATAAGCTTAGTGGAAAAAAAAAGTTTCACTTTATCTAATTTTTTAAACGTTTTCCGTTAGTGTCATAACATTTATTTTTAATATATAACGGAATTTTTTCTTACACTTTATAAAGTGGAACTTTTTCTTCCACTTTCTAAAATGGAACTTTTTATTACACTTTATAAGAGAAATATTTTTCACGTTTCAAAAAAGCTTTTTCAGTGTTGTCATACAATTATGTTGATTTGACATGTCATAAAACGGAAAAAAATATTACACTATGTATTTTTATTTTTTTTGTTCTAAAAAAATTTTCAATCTCTATTTAAGGTCGTTTAAAATGATTGAAATCACCAACAACAAAAAAATCTTCTATATTTTGTTCATTCAATCTCAAAAAAAATGTCTTCTACGCCTAAAGTTAAAGTTTCAATTTATTGGGATGGTGAAATTATACATGACAGAAATACCGTTTATTATAATTGTCCTCTCAAACACAATGCTAAATATCCAATTAATGTTCGATATCATAAATTCATTTCATCAATTTATAAAAGAATGGGTATAAACAGTACTGATTATAATTTGATTATAGTCGGAAAATACCCTACTTCATTTTTATCACAAGGATAAGTTAATTTTGGAGAGTGGATTATCTATAATGACGAATCGTTGACCGACTTTTTGAGGGTTCCAAATGACTACATAGATCAAATCAAGTTAACAATACTTGAAATCTATGTTAGGAAGGAGCCTAAGATTACTCAACAACGTTCTCATTTATCAGTCGATGCCAATCCCCAATTAAAAAATCGTAATAGCGTTGATGAATTTTCAATAACTCAATCTATTGATTTTCCTAACATGACTCATTATCAAAATATTCTTACCGTCGATATGATTTTGATTTAAATGAAACTATCAATGAAAGTGATCGGTATTGCTCAATAATTATATTTCAATCATTATTTGTTGATTTTGTCGATTATTTATTAGTTTATATGATTTATTTTTCTTATTATTATATATTTTGTAGCGGTTTAACTTAGTAAGATAGGAATATTGCTCCAAGTTATGGATTAGATAATTATTTTGGTCAGTCATCACACTTTGAAATGATGAAAAATGTTGGGACATCCTCAAATTTTCATGTTTCGCCTACTTTTGGTGTAGATGATTTTCAGTATGTTCAACGTTTGATTTTTTTTATTTAAGTAAGTAAACTGCATGAGTGAAATATTTATACTTTTTTACATATATAGGGAAAACATTACACAAGATGAACCCATTGATCCTGTGAATATCGATGATCGTGACCTTCCTAATTATGGCTCACCTTCAGCTAGTGATAGTGATGATTTGCCTAATGCTGAGGAATCAGGAGATAATGTTCCATTTGAGGCATCATCTAGTGATGATGATTTTTCGACTCTCAATCGATCGCCAAGACCAATGTCCATGAGCCCGTTTCATAATCATGAAATTCCTTATCTTGATCATCTCCCAGATGGTTCAGATATCTTTGGTGATACATATGATGAGTATACATCACAACGTACGTGGCATGAACCAGAAGATTTCATGAATGGTGCTATTTATATTAAAAAAGGCATGTTATTCAATTCAAAGAAGCAGTTGCAAAGAGCAGTTAAACTTCTACATTTGAAAGTAGCAAGGGAGTACTTTGTTATTAAATCGACAAAAAAATCATGGCGACTTGTTTGCAGGCGTGTAGAACAAGGATGTCGATTTAGGTTGACTTCTTTTATTGATAAACATACTAACATGTGGAAAGTTGGAAGATACATTGAAGAACATACATGTGATATGGGTACATGTCGCGAAAGACATTTCAACTTGGATGTTGAGATGATTGCTAATGTCCTCCGTGTTGATATAGAAAGAACGCCAAGGCACTATTTTATCATTAGATGATTCTTATTTAATAAGAAAATATTCATTTTTATTTGATAATTAATATTATTATTACTTTTCAGGTTTCCCATCAAAGACTGTCAAACAGCCGTTCTTAAAGCATATGGCATTTCGATAAGTACAAGAAAAGCCTATCTTGGTCGCAAGCGGGCTTTTGAAAAAGTCTATGGTACTTGGGAGGGTTATTTTGCCGAGTTACCGAGGTTCATAGAAGCTTTGAAACACTTCAATCCTGGAACAATAGTAGAATGGAAAACAGAGCGGCGTGTCGATGTCATTGAACATGTATTCAACTATGTGTTTTGGGCTTTTAAATCATGCATTGATAGGTTTGTGCATTGTCGTCCTGTTATATCGATCGATGGAACACATGTCTATGGAAAATATGATATCAAGTTGTTGATTGCGTTACAATAGATGGTAACGGCTCTATGTTACCTTTGGCATTTGCAATAGTTGCAAATGAGATCATAGAGACATGGACTTTATTTTTGGATCATTTGCACTTGCACGTTGTGAAGGGTCGTAGAGGGGTCACATTGATATCAGATAGGCATCACGGAATACTCTCATCCGTGTATAATTATTCGAATTGGCAGGCTCCATTTGGGTTTCATCGTTTTTGTTTAAGACATTTGAAGGCCAATTTTCAAAAAAAAATCAAAAATATCACTTTGAACAACCTATTATGGGCAGCTGCAAATCACTGTCAGGAGAAAAATTTTTTGAAAAAAATGGAAATGATCAACGATATTAATGCGGAAGTATATGTGTGGCTAATGAAGAACGAACTTGACAAATGGACATTGCACAGGGATGGAGGTAAGAGATGGGGCATGCTGACGACAAACACTTCTGAATCATTCAATGGTCTTCTCAAATCAGCAAGGGGTCTACCAGTTACTGCAATGGTAAGACTCACTTACAATCAAGTTGTGAATCGATTTGTTACAAGATCAAAATTTGTTAATCATCTAGTACAGGAAAAGCAACAATGGATGCCTAAACCATTCAAGATTTTTTAGGATAATCGAAAAAAGTCAAAACATCACACACTGATCAACTATCACCAACAAAGGGAAAACATATTTGAGGTGAAAACACATATGCATCATGGTCGTGATGGTAATAAGCATATTGTAAATGCATCACAAGGAAAATGTCAATGTGGTAAATGGCAATCATACCATATTCCATGTTCTCATGCAATAAAGGGATTTGATCAAATTGGGTATCAAGCATGGGAGCATATGGCACCAGAATTCACTGTGCGTAGCTACAAAAATGCCTACTTTGGACAATTCAATCCACTCGGCGGTGAAAAGTATTGGCCTGATAGTCCCTTCCTTATGATAGCAAATAAAAATTATTTACGAAAAGTGGGCATAAATAAAATCAAAGTGTTAATAGCTACTGTATTAAATAGATAAATAACACGAACCTGCAACTTAATTGGATCATCAAACAATCCTTCAATAAAATCTTGAGTGTTATAAATAGTAGTATCTTCAGTGTCAAAACGGACAGTACCTGATGTGCCCTACAAAAATATATAAATAGTTTTATTTTTTTATTTTGAAATATTTATATAAGTTAGTAATGTTTTAAGTTTAAAATTAATTGTTAATTCTTACCGCGATATCAGGTATATAATCTCCAACATCTATTGTTGATTCATAGCTCATATGTCCAATTCCTTCCACATCTCGAGTCAATCTTGAATAAGGATCAAATGACATATGTAATAAATTCATGATATCTGACGTGCCAAACTGATGAACATGCAAATCATCAGCCTCTACTCTCACATCTGCCCCTATGTCTGGAGGAATAGGTATACCACCAGCGCCACATCCTCGAGCGCGTCCTCGAGCTCTACCTCTATGCCCCATCCGTCCACTTCTGGGTCCTCTTGCACGCACATGTTCAAATAAAGGATCTCCCTCAAAAAATGGCTCTCTAAATTGTATTCCGGCCTCAAGCAATGTATCTTTAACAATCTGAGATACCTTTTCACCATGTAAAGCAGAGGTTGTGTCTCTCTGCCACTGTAATGCAAGACTATACAATTTAAATAGTCCTCTGGACATTGCAATACTAGTACCAGCAAAATGAACAAAGCCTGACGATACGTCAACCTCTAATGTAGGCCTACCTATAAGCAATCTTCCATGCCGCATGTACCATAATCTATACCCTGCCCCGCTAGTACCATCATTTACCTCAACAGCTAAACTCTGATGTCGATTACCCCAATCACAAAAATATTTATCCATCATTTCAAGAACCTCTGCTCCAAGCCTCCTACGCTGATCATGCGCGTGGTGGTTGGTTCCCCAACTAGGAATCACAGGTACATGCTGGGAATGACCAAACTGACGCATTACTCTATCAGGCGAGTGCACTTCAACAATCTCTAGGCAAAACATAGGGACACATGCCATCCATAGAGGCTCATCGACCATACAACAATGAGGCAGTGTATGTAAAATTTCATTGTACAGTGTCCATCGAAACTATTTTTAAAATATAACAATTAAATAAAATCAACATTAACTGATTAGTATACAAATAAAATTATTATTAATTTACTTTTATATGAAATTTATATTTTTTAATTAATGAAATGTAACAACGTAGGAATCCATATACATATATACATAAATTACAGTGTGGATGATAACACATACTACATGTTCAAGCAGAGACAATTGATAGGTTAACATATAACGATTTAATCGACATCTTTTTATCGAAAAATATTATTATATATAAAGTTATTTTCGCAAAAATAACAAGTGTATATCTCACAAATTGATTCTTTAACAACTTTAATTTTGACCTTTTTCAAAGATTGAGTTCTCCCATCAATCAAGATTGCAATTGACTCGTCACCTAATTAATTAATTTATTTTCTAGTATAATAAGTTATAGTATAATATCATACTTTAATTATATTACGTAAACTCCCGGGAAATATTGATATTTAATAACCTTAATTATAATAATATTAATCTAAACTATTCTCTCTCTCTCTAAATATTTTACTTCATCAACACTCACATCTCAACTAATTAGAATAGTAATGATAGGTTTGCAAATAACATAATAATTAATAATAAATAACTTTTCGTGAATTTATAACATGAAATAAGCAATACAAAGTTTGGCTAGCTTAATGCTGCAATTTTATTTATTTATTTTAAATAAAATAAAATAGTAAAACTATTTATAGTCCAATTCATGTGGACTACTAGAGTCAGCAAAATATCATTTTTTGTTGTATTTTTATTATTATATGTGTATTATTTCATTTAATATTTAGCAATCATATATAATGAAATTTATTTTATGTACCTGATCCTCCGTCATGCGGTTTAACTGGTCTCTGATCGGGATAAGAACATGATGTGACTCGGTATCCCTATCAATTCCACGCGTCCAACGCCTAGCATATGGAAGTAACATGTCACCATCATGTTGAGGAGGAGCTGATGGCTGTACAGGCAAGATCCTCTCCCAACACCAAACCTTGATGTGACAAACAAAATAATTAAATTGTGAAGGGGAGTAAAAGAAAAAAAAATACTAATTGAGTAAGTAGTGAGAACATATATGATGATCGAGAATATTTTAACTAAATAATGTTTAAAATTCTTAGTTATTAACTATGACATAATCATGAAGAATGCTTCATATTATTAATCAAAATCTAACAAAGAATAACGATATAACTCTCTCGGCTTTCAGCTCAAGTTGGTGAAATAACTTAAGTCTGCTAACTCCAAAAGAAATTACTAAAACAAAATCACACAAATAGTAATTATCCTCATTTAGAAAGAGGGAAAATAAGTGTTATCATTCCAATTAGAAATCTAAATTAGTTATTTGCATTTATTTGCGATCAATTGAGCACTATTAGCTGACTAAATATCAAAAACATAATCGATATGAAAATTAGTCATTATGATATTTTTTTTGTTTGAATAATGAAGCGAGATGAACAATGAAGATTAATGATATAGCCGATCCAACTTGCTTGATTTTGAAGTATGGCAGGAGTTATTGTTGTATGAAACCTCTATATTTTAGTATAGTATTCCAATCGAAGCATAACAGAGATTGAGATAACATATACTACAAAGTGGAACCTATATATTTTAGTATAGTATCCACATGTGCAAGTTTTAAGCTGGCATGTGATGCAGCATCAGAAAAGGGGTAGAGAAATGCGCGCTTTAATGTTCATATGTGTGCATACTAAGCTTCTCTTGTTTCTAAACAATTTTTTTATTTTTTATTTTTAAAAAATTAGGCAAACAATCCCTTGCCGGTAAATGAAGCAGCTTCTCGCCGGAAAATATAGCATCTTACACACCTCGCCGGAAAATGAAGCAGCTTCTCGCCGGAAAATATTTCAAGAACATTAAAAAAAATAATATCATTCTAAAAAATGTTTAATGTTCCACTAACAAGCAGAAATTAAGAGAATGCTAAATCAAGATGTTAAAGAATGCTAAATCAAAAATACTATACTAATACAAGATGAGATAAATGAAACACATTTTAAATAAATAAAATATGAGATGTTAAAGAAATACCTAATTTATATAATTTGTAGGGACGAATTGTTATGTTGTCGGGTTGTGCTACTCCAAATTTTTGATTTATTTACTGTGGGGCTGCTTCATTTGTCGGATTGGGACCATCAATGTTCATCTTCAAGTAACATAAAAGCCATTAAAGTGAAAGAAACAAGGAGAAGGTGAAAAGATGAAAGTAATTTTCTATAAAGTGGAAGATTTTCTTCCACTTTACAAAGTGGAAGAAAAAGTTCAGTTATACATTAAAATACACGTTATGACACTAACGGAAAACGTTTAGAAAATTTGATAAAGTGGAACTTTTTTTTCCACTAAACTTATTTTAGTTACTAACTAAAAAAGTGGCTTATTTTGGTCATTTTTATATTTTGGTGGCTTATTTTGGTTCTCAACTCAATAGGATGAGAATAGTTGTGAGAGGTGCAAAGGCACAGCATCACGAGAATAAAATTAAAAAAAAAAAGGAAGAGGGTCCCAATTTGGGGAAGTATGAGCGGAATGCCCATTATCAAAGCAATAAACATTTAGCATTTAAATTGGAAAGCGATAAAATATAGACAGTTCATAAACAATAAATAGATAAATAAGCATGAATAAAGGAAATTAAACATGTAAAGATATAAAAACTAAGCAAATAAAGAAAGACGGTATGGAATTAAACATGTAATTAAGCAAATAAGGGAAAAGGGAAGATGTGAAACATGGTAATAAAAAAAAGGAAAAGGGAAAGGGATGGAACATGGAGAGAAAACAGTAAATAAGACAACAAAATAAGCTAAACATGGTAAGCACCTAACAAATAATGAAATGACAAAAATAAAGTAAACCCCACATAAATAAGCAATTAACACGTAATGGTAAGAACCTAATGTCCCCAGCGGAGTCGTCATTATGTCGCGCCCCATTTTCGCAGAAAACGGGTTTTTTGCGCGACCTAACAACTCTTTTGGGATTTCGAGTTTGAGGAGTCGCCACCTAACGAATTAAGGCGTCTTAGGACACCTATCTAACCTAAGTCTAACTAAGGTCAACGAGCCAGAGATTAGGGTAAGGGTACAAATTACCTCGAGGGAAAGGTGTTAGGCATCCCTCGAGGTCCACAAGTGTGGGTCCCGGCCGTATCTCATGCAATCTATGTGAGGGTTACAATTAGCAATCAAAGTCACTTCATTTATTAATTTATTTAATCTTGCTAGTGATAACAAATACAAAACAATTAATACTATTAATTTGAACATGCAAGTCTAGGTGATAGCAATAAATAAACAATCAAGTTTTGTTTTTATTTAAGCATGTGAAACTATGTTATAAACAAAATTTATAAATATCAAACAATTAATATGTGTGAAAGTAAAGTTTGAAAATTGAGCAAGTTTTGAATATGAATTTTTTATTTTTTTAAAATGTTTGTTTCTTTATAGGGATGATGCCACGATATTGTTGATCGCGCTCCTCCACCATAGAAACAATTTTGATTTGAGGTCGGTCTAAAAATAGCTTATGTTTTTTGAAAATGATTTAAAAGATTTAGTTTACATGTTGGCACATAAATTATTTACACATAAATGCACATAATTCTTTTGAAATTCATGGGTAGGTGGTACTTCCGAGGATGCGTCGGTTTAAAAATTGGAACTAGACCTCATAGTTCCTTTGACTTTCCCAAAAATAATGTAATAATCAATCCAAAATTTCAAAGGAAGATTGAATAATGACTTTTAAGAAAATTATGTTGCAAAACTTTGTAAGTACTAAAAACTAGTAGAACATTAAGGTGGTAAATTTATTAAATGCAAAGGTTTTACGATGAAATATATTTAAAGCCAAATAATTTGTTAAATGCATGAAATGATTTTAGCATCATTATTATTTTAAGAAAATAACATATTGCAACGAATGCGGAAATCTTCAAGAAGACAAATAGGATTACTCATGAAATAATATTAACTAATTTTAGGGGGAGGGCACAAACATGCACGAACAAGTTCTATTTTTTTTTGGATATGTTAAAAGTTTATTACAAGCCTATAGACATGATTTCTAGGTGTTCAAAAAAGTAACACATATATGCATAATTTTGTAAATTTAAATGTTATGAACAATTTAATCCTTAGGCATGGTTTCTACATGACAAGACAATGCTAAAAGTTAGCACCTAATCAACCTACTAAATTATTATGATTTGATTTTAACATTAAAATTAATGAAATCTAGTTATTATTTTTTAGACTTATTAACAAAGCATCAAACAATTGATTGGATTATAACACCTACAAACAATAATTCTAGGTGGTTAAAGACAAACCTATAGGCATGATTTCTAAAAATCTATAATGAACAAGTAAGGAATCTAATAAGAATTAAATTAGGCAAAGTAATATATTTTTATTTTTTTTAAATAAAGAAGAGTCCAAAATCAGATTTTAAATTATTATTATGTTACCAAAATAAACAAATAAGAATAAATTAGGAAGACTAATATATTTCCTTAAATACAGAGAAATCAAAATAACAAATGTTTCAAGATCAGCCAAATATAAATTTACTTGAATATATATCAGTAAGCATCAAATCAGCCTTAATTAAGGCATCTACAATCAATTACCAAACATTAATAAGCAAAAATCACCTTACCATAAAATCTTCTAGGATTCGTACAGGCAACAAAATCATCTTAGTACCACTAAATCGATATCAATCAAGCAAGTAAGAGGGAGGAGAAACAGTGAGATAACAGTATTACATGAAAAATATGTATTAATCCGTCATATAAGCAATCTATAGTTATTTACACCAACGATAAATGTCAACAGAGCAACATTAGTAAGTCAAATGATATAATAATCAATAACTCCAAGATTAATTTAAAAAGTAAGAAAGCCAAAAAGAAATACTCGGTTTGGAGCCAATTAATATCTCCACCGAATCAGACTCAAGAAGGGAAGAGAGTAAGAGAAATTTCTAATATCTCATGAACAGATTAAGAACAAGAAACTACTAATTCATAGTATAATCAAGTATGCAAGAATTTGAAAGCTACCAGTAAACCCACATAGAAGCAAACATGAAAAAATAAATCCTAAGTTCTAGTGGTCAAATTAACAAATTTATTAAAGGATGAAACAAGTTTAAACAAGAACTAACCTTCACGAACATGAGACCTTTGAACAACGCCAAATCTCGTTGTTTCTGGTTGCTGTTCACGCTGGCCGGAGCTGCTGCTTGCTCCCACCGATGATCGCAACTGCTGGATTTTCGCCCGTGACTGCTTGCTGCTCTCCTCGCTAGGTTGCTGGTTTCGCTGGAGGCTTCACCAATGGTCGCTTCTCGCCGGGAGGAGATGGAAGAAGCGGATGAGAGGAGGAAGAGAGGGGGCGCTGGGGCTGCTGGTCGGAGAAAGGCGAGAAGAGAGGGGAAGCGGCTGTGTTTGGAGCTGTTGTCGCTGCTGCTGGTGGCGCTGGAGTCGGAGTTGTTGGCTGGCGTCGGAGTTGTTGGCTGGCGTCTTCTCCGCCGATGGGGCTGCTGGTCTTGGCCTGCTACTCCTGTCTGCGGCTCTCCAAGCGTTGCTGCTACGCGCACTGCTGGTGCCTGGTTCTGCTGTTTTCGCCAGCAAAATGGAGAGAACGAAAGGGAGAAGGGAAGGAGGAGGTTGGGCGACGGGAGAAAGGAGACAGAGAAGAAGGAGGGAGAAGAGGAGGAAGAACAAAGGGGAGATGCAATAGCTGCCAGCGGCTGCTGGCTTCAACGACGATGGAGGATCTCGCCGGCAAGAATGGGGGAAAAGAGAGAAGCGGCTGCCAAGGAGGGGGGGAAGAGAAGGAGAGAAAAATGTTTTAGGGTTTTTTTTGGGGGTCTTTTGGTGTTGTGAAAAATAAAGATTTAATCACAACCATGAGATTAATAAGAGATGAAGGATTAGGATTCGATCTAGGATTTATTTTTTAAGATGGACGGATAAGATCAAAAGATGAAGTTTTGAAATTAGATTGGCAAAGATATAGAATGGCTAAAATTGCAATTAAAGTGGCTAGAATTGAAATGAAAGAGTGACTATGATTGTAATAAAAAACTTAATTGGAATTGGCTAGAATTGGAAGAAATTAGAATAGAATAGGCTAGAATTTAAATAATATTTATTAAAATACTACATACATTAAAATATTTTTTTTGTATAATTGAAAATCATCTAAATTTTAAAACATTTGAAATACTATTTACAATAATTTTATAAAGTAAATGATACTAAAATATATAATTTTTGAGAAAAATCAACTAAAACTTTCAAACTTTAAGTAAATTTTAAAATACGTATTTAGTCGAATATAATCCTAAAAATGGTTAAAGGTCGGTCAAAATTGGGTGTCAACAGACACACAAGTAAAAATTGTCATAACTTGCATAGTGCTACATAATTATTTGCAAGAATACCAAAGTAGCAATGAAATATTTATGGTCTATGAGTACGAAAATATAGTTGCGAATGATATTGACCAATAAATGACTCAACTAACAATGTTGATTCGTCTTCTCGGTCATATGATCAAGAAATGCAAGTTCAACATGAGGAGATTGTTCATACTATATAGGGGAATATATATTTAAAACTAATACACTACAATTCATGTTCAATTTTTTTAATTGAATTAAAGTCTGATCAATGAAAGTTAGATGAAACAATTATTTAAGTGGAGAACAAATAACTTTATAGTAATTTATTATGCAATTTTATAAAAAAAATTATTTTGTAAGAATGAATAAACAATTGGGACTATTTTAATAGTGTTACATCTTATGAAATTCTTATGTTTATGAGAAAATATACAACAGAAAAATTTCATATTGTATATCCATACAAAACTTTAATTTCATTTCATGATTTCATATCACATAACTAAACAAGCCCTAAATATTATTTTTTTTCTAAATTTAAGCACTAATGGTGAGTACAATTTTATCCTATCATAGTTATAAACTCAAAAAGTATTTCACGTGAAAAACTTTTTGCTCTAAAAAAGTCAAAAATAACATCTTACTTTTGTAGGATTTTGTAAAACTTATTTCACTAAATTTAAAATAGATTTATAATCACGCTAGTAACATCTAAAGAATTGTCTCCAAAAGTTTTGAGCGATTCTTTTAATTGTCTTGTGACCGAACTGGTGCTGGTCAAACGAATAGTTGTATTTATGTTATTAAAAAAATTGGCATTTTCAAAATAGGTATAAAAACATGGTCTTTTTAAAATATTGGTCTAAATACATAGAATGTCAAAGTAGATAGGCTAGGATAATAAATAATTCATCTAAATGGAGCTTTTAATTTTGTTTATATAACAACTCAAAATAAAACAGATAAAGTGGGAACCACATGAGGCTTTTCTTTGTAATGTCTAGGGTGGGCCCCAGTTCATGCATCTAACCCAAATTCTATCTTTCCCTCATTTTCAAAATAAAATAAAATTAGTCGATAAATAATAACCAATAATAATAATAATGTTTGAATAGTATAATGGAAAATGTGAAAAAGTAAATATTTTTATATGTATGTTCGACACTTACCCCCATTGCTTTCTTGTGTGCTTCATCAATCAAAGAAAAGGGCTAAGCAAAAACTGTTTTCATCACTTTGATTTCTTTGCTTCATTTTGAAGGTACCATTTTCTTCTTGTTCATTAATTCTTGAAATTTAGTTATTTTAGAATCCATGAAGATTTCATTTTTTGAGTAAGTAAGACAAAGGGGTTTTAAGGTTTTGATTGTTAATTGCCATATATAGACTTGTGAGCTCTTTAGATTTTTTTCATTAATGTAGTTGATGTCACTAGATTCTTTGAAGTTAGAAGCAATAGAAAAACTTTTTTTTTGGTTTTGGTTTTTTCAGATTATCCTTGAGCTAGATAGGGTTCTGTGCAACTTGTTTAACAATGTTGTTGGTGATTTGAAATTCAAAAGCAGTTTTGATTTCATCTTGGAGAATGTATGTGTTGTCTTGGTTGATAGAGGAAATTCCAAAAGCAGTTTTGATTTCATCTTGGAGAATGTATGTGTTGTCTTGATTGATAGAGGAAGATGGCAAACAAGTAAAGCTTTTCAATTCTTTTAACTCAATTGATGATCAACTTTAAATGAATTCGGTAAAAAAACAAAATTGTAATTTAGTAAGATATGTGTAGTTTGATTGTAGTGTTATTTAGTTGTAATATTGCCCTCTTACTATCTGTTGTTTGTTACTACCTATTGTCTTTTGTACTTTTATTGTGTCTATTTCTAGTTTGTTTATGTCTTGAGCGAGGGTCTACTGGAAACAACATCTTGGCTGAGGTAGATTAAGGTATGGTACACTCTACTCTCCCCCGAACTTCAATCTGTGGGAACACTTGGTATGTTGTTGTTATTTAGTAAGATAGACTGCAAATGAGTGAGTTTTTGGGAGGAAATGCAATGCAAGTCTTAACCACTATGAAGTTAATGATTCCCTTATCACTTGTTGCTTGAATTGATGGGTGCCGTAATACATTTTATCAGGTCCTGGTATAGCAACTTGTCAAGGTGTCCACAAAAAGCTTTAAGGAAGTTACATTAGTGTAGAATCCGTTGAAGATAATGCAGAACATCTTTTTAAAAAAAAAAAAGAAGTTGGGGATAGAGGAAGGAGATAACAAGGTGGAGAATTGAACCCTCACTATCCAACTTACTGAGCTACTAAGATTATCCCAAAGAAGAACATCTTATTAATTCCACTTACAAAAAAATGTTGTGATGAAGTAATAATCTTGTTAATGTGGGTAAACTTCCGTGTAGAAGTAATACACCAAAAAGTAGAGAAACCAACAAACTGTCAGAGAGATTAACCAAAAACAGGAGGTTATTCTTCAAATATATAAACTTATCATGAACTCTTCCATGCTCTCCTTCCAAAGGATCCATATAAGGGCTACATAGGCTATCTCTCGTGTCCTATGTATTCTTGCTTTCTTCTAAGGTCATCTGTCTAACAGGTCCTTTACTGTGCCCAACATTATCCACTGTACGTGCTCAGGACCAGCTTCCATTCACCACAATTGGGTAACACATGAAAATGCAGCAGTAGGTTGTCCAGATATTTACGGATCTATACATAAAGCACCATCCCGTACATTAGTATTATTCCTGTTTTTTGTGTTTTTAGATTTATTTGTTACTACCGCTTGTTTCTATAGCCTTGATCATTGTATCATCTTATTGTTTTTTTAGTTTGTTCCTGCTTCTTTCTTTTGCATCTTTCTTTGAGCCGAGAGTCTATATGAAACAGCCTCTCTACCTTCAAGTAATTTGTAACTATATAGGCACTTTCTGGATGCTGTGTTAGTAATACAACTACATTTTGACTATCAGTGAAGAAATAATAATGTGAAATCATCCAGTCTGATCGAAACACAAAGCATAAGTTTTAGCTTCTTTCGTTGTAATTGACTGTATGGATATCCCTAGCAGTTTTTTGTAACTTTTGGTTTTGGTACCTTCTTGGTACTTAAGTCACTAAACCTTAACCTCATCAAAAGAAAAAAAAAAAAAAGAGATAGCATCTTTACCATCCAGAAAACAAAACCTATAAGTGCAGGTTTAGAATCACCATTCCATTGAAGTTGTGAAACAATTCACAGTTCCAGAAAATCTTAGTTATTGACAAGAATCACCAAAATACAACATATGAGAGCAAAGAAATACTATGGAAGAAACACAACTGACATAAAACTTATGTCGTAGTAGAGATGTAGATCATAATGAAGATATATTCATTGTTAACAGTCCATGTTAAGTTGGGGCATTCAAATTATGCATTCAAAACAATAGAAAGAGAGTTAAATATTTTAAGCTGTGATAGAAGTTTTCCTGAACTGTATGCTTGCATAAATGGGATCAGTTACCACCTTTTTATATGGATATCCAAGAGAATTTCTGCATTTCTGGAATTGTTGAATTTTAGTTGCATCCAATGAAATGTCTTATTAATTTTGTAATGGCTAAAATCATTTTTCAAGCTTTTTTAACAATCAGTAGTCATGGATGTTTATGCAATTATGCTACATCGGCGGATCAAATAGTGCAGTTGTATAAAGCATAGTGCAATTGGCACCTAATGTTTTTATAGCTGCTTTCACTGATAGTTTGTTTTACTCCTTTTCTTTTCACAGAAACCTTTTTTCATGACTGCAAAATTTCATGTCGCCATATGCCATCAGGAAGACGTTCTTTAATGGATTTGGAACCTGCCTACAAGATGGAGAGCATAAGAGCAGTCCAAGATATTCAGCATGAATTTTGGCCTCTTGATGAAATAAATGGAGAGAATGCTAAGTTCCCCTGTTGTTTAGTTTGGACTCCTCTACCAGTAGTCTCATGGTTGGCACCTTTCATTGGACATGTAGGAATATGCAGAGAGGACGGTTCTGCCGTGGCCTTTTCTGGTTCCAACTTTATTAACATTGATGATTTTGCATTAGGTTCTGTGGCCAAATACCTTCAACTAGACAGAAAACAGGTACAATTTACTGTAGCATGCTCTTAGCCTTTCAATTGTTTGTTGTAGCATTATGTCACTCACTAACCTCTCCCCCCATCTTCCTTAACGCATCGCCCCTACTATTTATATTCACATATAACTTCCAGCAATTCCACCTGAAACACTATGCTTAGTTAGTAGTTACCCCACATAAAGAAATAGGGCAATTTGATCTTACCAACAAAGTATTGACAAGAATTTCTGAATGGTGAATTATTGGACAGTGCTGCTTTCCACGAAACCTTGCTGCACACACATGTAAGCATGGCTATAAACACACAGAGTTTGGGTCTGCAATTACTTGGGATGATGCCATCCAATCAAGCGTTCGTCATTTTGAGCACAAATCGTACAATATATTCACTTGCAACAGCTATTCTTTTGTTGCTAATTGCCTGAACAGGCTCTGCTATGGAGGATCAATGGATTGGAACATGATCAATGTTGGTGCTCTTTTATTGTTCAAAGGACATTGGGTTGACAACATGTCAATCTTGAGATCATTTTCACCTTTTATGCTAGTTGTATGCTTTGGCATTTTCATGGTGGGATGGCCTTTTATGGTAGCATTATTGGCTTTCTCACTTCTTCTTTTAGCATGGTTTATTTTTGGTACTTACTGTCTCAAAAATCTGTTGGATTCCTAGGTTTCTTGTATCACACTGCTACAAGATTAAAATTTGTTAATCCTTAATATGTGAAGAACCCCATAGACTTTGATAACTCTGCACTCTAAAGTCACAAGTGTAGTGGAATTTGGACAATATCAAGTTACCTAATAGATATTCACTTTGATTCAATTTATGACACATTTTTCTTTTTAATCCATTGGAAAAAAGAATGAGTGACAGTTTACCTTAGTTTTGGAACATTATAAAAAAAAAATTATATTTTTAAACTGCGTGTCTAGTCAAAAATCACATTGAAACAACACGACTAGTTATAAATTGTCGTCACTGATACTTGGAATTTGGGGCGTCCATCAGTTAATTCGACTTAATGTATTATTAGTCTAGCTTTCAATTTTTAAATGCACTAAATTAGTAAGATATTATTTTATTGATTTTTGATCTTTAATAGTTTAGTTTTTGATTCGACAAATAAAAAATATTCATAAAATAGTTATATAAAGCAAATCGGTGGCTTGGAGGCTGGAGTTTGAATTTTAGCGCATTAAAATAAAGGCTTTTAAGCTTAGAATTTGTATCTATCGAACAGTTTTTTTATTTAAAAATTATTTTTTATTGCAGATATGGGCAAAAAATGTGTTCCACTCACCTTGAGCGTATATAGCAGTTAAAAATCATATTTTTCTTATATACTTGATAAGTTTTAAAATAAAATAATAAAAATAAAATGGAAAAGCCTTCTTCTTCTTCACTGCAGCTCTCTTTCTCTAATCCTTCAATTCTTCTTTTGCTTTAACCTTCATTTTTAATTATTTTTTCAGCAATTGCTTTGAAATGGCCGCAGAAAAACATAAATTAAAAAAATAAAAGTCAAATTTGAGTTAAAAATAAATTTGGCGAAACTTTATTTTTTTTGACAAGACTAATATGAATCTGAAATTATTTTCTTTGAAACCGCTAAAAGATTCAAATTCTAAAGAACTTACAACAGTGAAGAAGCGAAAAAATCAACAAATATTGATTGTTATTCAAAAAAAAATGAGATTGGAAAAAATGGCAACTATAATATTGAATTAGAATAAAGGATAGAACTTATTGGAGTATGCGATTTTAGCCGGAGGCCACTACGTGTTTTCCGGCGACAAACAAAATGAGGTAGAATGGAAGCCGGGGTGGGCATTTTGGCAAAGAAGAAAAGGCAGAAGAATTTTTATTTTTTTTTGGGGCCAAAAATAACATTTTATTTTTAATATATATTTTAATCAAGGCAACTTTCAGATAGGTATAGCAAATAAAATATTCATATTTGTATGTTATAGCAAAGTTTACAAAATTACGCTCCATAGCAAACATAGAAACTGCATAATTCGCTGTACATAAACAGTTGAAGCAAATTATATAAAACGAAGTGTATAAAACAAGAAAGAGAAAGACACTTGGATAGAGAACTATATAAAAACTAAGTGTATAAAACGAATTATATTATTATAAGTTATAGAACGATTATATACAATTTGAATTTGTATAAAATGAGAAAGAGAGAAAGACAAAAGAGACTTGACAAGGAATATACAATTGAATTGAATGGTATAAAACGAGAAAGAGAGAAATTATATACAATTTGAAAATTGTATGAAACGAGAAAGAGAGAAATGCAAATGAAACTGAGCAGGAGAATATTTTTATTGTATAATTATAAGTGTATAGGACGAAAATATATGTACTTGCATGTGTATATACAATTTTCTCATGTTTTATAAAACGAAAACACAATTTATACATTTCGCTTCTGTTTGTATAAGTGAGAAAGGCGAGGGTGTAGAGCGAGATTTGCGAGAGTGGCAGCGAGATCTGAAAGAGGGGAGAGATGGGAACAAAAATATATGTATTTATACAATTTTCTCTGCTTTATACAATTAGAAACAATTTTTATACACTTGTGTTTGTATAAAAAATGAGGAAGCGAGCGAGAGATTGGAGGAGAGTGGCGAGCGAATAATTTGGGAGAGAGAGACTCCTGACAATTTTTTTGTAAACATTTGCTATGGAACACAACTAAATCAAACTCTAGCTACTCCATTTATTTTAAGTTATTAGTTTACTATTATATACAATTTTCCCTTTTAATTATTATTATTATGGGCCCAAACACCACATGTCCTTTTCTAACTAGTTACATGTCACGTCATCACTAGCTTATAACACACAATTTTTATTTTTAGTTAATCATGAGAAAATGTTTAATAAGTATTTCTTTTTACTAATAAAAATGTTCAATAGAAATAATCTAAAATAATGTGTCCAAAGTAAAATTTACAAACAAATTTAAATGAATACAGATTACTTAAGCTTAAAATAAATTAAATCTAACCTGTTTTGCGGCGGCCTTTGTTGGTTCCAACTATATTAATAATTTTGATGATTTGGCATTTGCTTTTGTGGCCACCTCTAGTTTTTGGATTCTTTTAAAATTAAAATTTCTCATAATTTTTTATTTTAGAAAAAGTTTCCGCTAATTATTACTCCTTTTGTTCATATCATAATTTTTATTTTTAAAGTTAAATTATAAGAATTTTGACTAATATTTTAAGATATATTATATAAAAATTATAATTTATAATATTTTTAATATTATTTTTAAATATTTTAATTTTTTATTTCAAATATCAAATTAGTATAATCTAATTTAATTTTAAAAATTAATCGAAAGAAAATCGCAATATGACCAAAAAAAATGGTTGAAGGGAGCAGTAGTTTAATTATGATATAGGAGCAGTAGTTTAATTATGATATATTTGCACAACTACTCATTAAAATCATTCTTATTTATAATAAAGAATGGCTCTTTCTTGTGGCTGTATTTCTTTTATACCTAAAAAGAAATCATTGTAGTAGGGTCGCTTATACATATATTGGAATAAAAAGAAATTATTGTAGTAGGGTTGCTTGTATATTTTTTGATTAAAAAGAAATCATTGTAGTAGGGTCGTTTGTACATTTTTTTATTGGTGGGTGAGTAGGGATCGTTTAAAATTACTAATTCAAATAAGGGAACTTATTAATTTATTGATAACTGATTTAATAATTTTGGTAATGATTGTAATTTGATAAACTATTGGATTACCTCTTCTTAACGGGTAATCCAAATTTTTGATTTAAGATTTAGTTTTGTATTTTTATTTTTTATGTTTTAGATTTTCTATTATTCTAAAATGTGTCAACGTTTGCATATGTCTAATTTACAATATTTTAACTCATATACATGGTTCATTCAATTTGTCACCTTGTTTTAAAGATATTTTCAATAATTTTCTTGTGTAGAATCTTAACGGTTAAATCAATAACAAATAAATCGATAATGGATAAACCAATATCTTAAAGGTTCTATAACAATTTAACATCCATTTTTACAAACTAATAACTAATAAGTAACTTCAAAATCGAATCAGACAGATTGATATGCAGCTCTATTTGTGAGTAAAATAGTTATTTCGTAGTAATTTTTATTGTAATATCATCTTAAAACTTTCGAATAATATATTGTCTAATTTCTTATAAAATGGTTACTCTTATCTTTAATAGTTTTTGGAACTCACAACCATAAATTATACTTCATTTTTCTTCTAAAGAATAGAATATAATTTTAAAATATTATAATCATATACATTTTGAAACTTCATCCAAAATTGACTTATAAAAGATATTTCTGAAAATGATCAAATGATACCTTAATAAATTATCACACCAATCAATTGGTGGAAACCTTAATAAATCAGTAGACAACCTTTAACTATCAAACAGTCTAAACTCGTGTGTCATGCATGATAAGCTTTTGACTCATACATTATTATTATTCTATTTTGTTAGAAACCTTAATAGACGATAAAAAATTGGGGTTTGCCGCAAACATTCACGTTTTGTATTGTTTTATAATATAATATTGTATTATATTTTTTTAACAAATATAACCTTTTAAATTAATTAATTTATTTTTCATTATTAAATAATATCATATAACAATAATTTGAATGGTAAATTTAAAAAAATAGAATATAAACATAATTACTATAAAAAAAAAAAGGATCAAAATCATAAGATACTCCCCCCATTTAAAAAAGGGAAAATTGTATAAAATAGCAAACTAATAACCTAAATTAAATTGAATAGCTAGGGTTTGATTTAATTGTGCTTCATAGCAAACATTGACAAAAATTTGCCAGGCGTCTCTCTCCCAGAAGTCTCGCTCGCCACTCTCCCATTCTCGTCTCTCTCGCTTTATACACAGAAGTGTATAATTTCTGTTTCTGTTTTGTATAAAGCGAGAGAAAATTATATATACACATGCAAAAATGTATATCTTCATGTTATACACTTAATTATATAATTTACAAACATTTTACTTCAAATATTGCAGAGAAAAAGGCCAAAGAATTATACAATTGCGAATTATACAATTGCAGTGAAATACAATTTTTTCTAACTTTATACAACAGAAGTGTATATATTGTGTTTCTGTTTTTGTATAAAGCGAGAAAAACATATATCTTCTTGCTATACACTTATAATTATGCAATATACATACATTTTAATTCGATTCAACTGTATGCAAAGCTAATTATACAATTGCAGCGAAATAGGCCAGCGAATTATACAATTTAGGCCAGCGAATTATACACTTTTATATGTATTGCGAATTATACAGTTTTTATGTTTGCTATGGAGCGCAATTATGCAAAGTTTGCTATATTATACAAATATGATTTTTTTTGTTTGCTATATGTGAAAGTTGCCCTTTAAAAAATGATGGTCTAGTTTGATTTGGAATGGAGTTAAAGAAAATAAAGAAAAAATTTTAATTTGTGGTTCAAAATTAGAGTTATGTCAAATGTACTCAAATGTCTTTTAATCTTGCAGTCTTAAACATGTGACGTGAAAAGTTAAAATTAAAGTATTGCCAAAAAAAAATTAATTATTTTTTTTAAACAAACTAAAAAAAAAATAGAAATATTTTTTTTTGAAACGAAGGAAATAATTATTTTTGTCATTATATAACAATAAATTTAAACAATTTAATATGATAAAGCAACAATGAATATAAACATTAAATTGAACCTAACATTACATTATACATTAATATAAGGCCAAATATATAAGCAAATTCCTAAACTTGTTGGGTTTTTTCTCTCATGTACTTCAACTACTTCATTTTTCTATTGAATCATTGAATTCCCATAATTTGTTTCCTTTAAACAAACAATGTTGTCTGATGTGGAACCAGATTTATGAGGGGTATTGCTAGAGGATACATATATTGTTCCACAACTCATTAGTCCAATTGATTGTGAAAATGTTCGAGAATAATTGTGTTTTACTTAAGTCATTTGAACACATTAGAAAACAAATGAGACTAACACGGTTTGTATTCATTCCTTCAATCAAAATTATTATAATTCGAACACAATTAAAGGCATTTCCAATAGAAAAGCCGATCAAAATCAACCAACAGTGTTTTAAAGGAATAAATTATGGGTGGTTCAATGATTCAATAGAAAAAAATGACTTAATTAAGATACCCAAGGGAAAAAACCCAACAAGTTTAGGAATTTGTTTATATATTTGGCCTTAATATAATATAAGGAGACGTAACAATCATTAGAAGGTGTAAAAGTATGTGACTCATACTTTTTAAATAGAAAAATAAATATGTAAGATAATATAAAGTTTATTACGTGAACCACCTTAACACTTGCACAGTCGTGTGGATCTGATCTTGCACTGACATTAAAGAACAGTGCGTTTAAATATGATTAAAAAACATACTTATACGACTAATTAATGTTTTCTAATATTAATATTAAGATTCTGTCCATATAAGTAAATTTTAGTATTTAATCATATTAATTAGGCGTAACATGCTCGTTTCGATATTTATCAAAACACACACTTTTAATTAAATAATTAAATTTAAATACGCCCTCATCTATAGATAATATAACAAGTGTCTTATAAAAACTTTTAATTTAAAATTAAAATAATATTAAAAATATCTCTAAATTTAATAAAAAATTAATAATAAATCAAAAATGTATTAAATTCAATTAATCTAATAAAATAAAATAATATTTTTTGAAACAATAATTTGTAGTATTAGTGTTCTTCTCAATTTTTTTCATTTAATAGAAAAAACAATTTGATCATTATGATTCTCTCTCCTCTCTGTCTTCTTTATTGGTAAATTTGTGAAACGAAATGTGATACGAATCAATGGATTCCACTCGAAATTCTCTGGTAAATTGCAACAATTCATTTAATTTCACATAGAATTCTATTTAATTTTCATTTGTTTTGTGGATTCTTCAGAGTTGGAGTTCTTTGACAATCTCAGAGAAAATTTGTGCTTCATTTTTCCCCATTATTGCACTCATTGAAGCTTGTATGTATGCTGTTTCTGGTTGCTTCGAATGTCATTACCCTCCAAACAAAAAGTTCAGTTACGAATACACGGACCTTGCTCGACTTGCCGGGGAATCTCGATGTAATTAACATTCCATTTTTTTTTTCAAAAATTAAAATCTGATTTGGAACTGTATAGGTTGAATCATTTTTTGGTGAATTTTGATTTTTTTGCAGTTAATGTGAATGAAGTGGAAGCATTATACGAGTTGTTTAAGAAGTTGAGTTGTTCAATTATCGATGATGGTTTGATACATAAGGTGATTTGTCCTTTTTTTTTTAGGGTTTTGCTTTTGTTATCCGTCTGTTCCAATTCGTAATTTGTGATAAGTTTTTTTTTTTTTTTTTTTGGATATTAGTGCACTTAGACTAATTCAGTATATTTAGCAATTTTACAAAAAAAAATTACATATATTGCAAATTCCTTTCCAAAATGATGAAATTTTTTTAAAAATTACTCGGAATGTTGTTTGATTCTTGTTGATGATGCTTACTGTTAAAGTTACTTTATATAAAAATAAAGAAAGACCAATCTGTTTGATTCTTGGAATGAAACTAGGATGACAGTATTACTAATATGCATGTAGTTTTGCTAGAGATAGGAAAACTGGTACAAGGATCAAGACTATTAGTTAGTTATAGTTAGAATTACTGTTCAATGTAAAGTTGGTCAGAGTTACTGTTCATTGGAAAGTTAGTTAGGATTTCTATTAGATTTTGTTACTCGTTCTTTTGAGTAGTTGTATCCATTCATACGAGCATATCTACGATTGTAATAGTCATTGTAAGGCATCTTTTGAAGTACAATATCTCTTTTTTTGTCTTCTAATATTTCTGTCTCCACTAAACTCTTGATTTTCCTGTGTTAGCTTCTTAGCTTCCTCAAGTAGTCTCATGTATTAGCCTTTTCACAAATCAATTGTGCATCAGAAACCCTCTTGTCATTTGTTGGATATGTGGAATGGAGTGTTGGAAGTAAAGGTGCGCCCAACAAGGCTTGCTTTCGGGTTTTAAGTTTGATGTAAGGTTTAAGTTGGAGAGGAGGTCTGGGTTATGAGCTTAATTATTGGGTGTGGCTGAACTTAATAAATTCTTTGCAATATGTATTATTTATTTGTGTGTGTTCTATCTGCTGACATCGTAATATATCTTATCCTGAAAATTGGACGAGTCTTCGTACAAAGAGAAATATGTAGGTAGAGATTTGTGCAATTTTCAGTCCTAACCTTTCAGCGACATCTATCTCAACTTTTATCTTCATTTTCCGTGAAGTTTCACCTTTATGTTAGACATTTCTGGTCAAATGAAGGAAAGAGAATGAATATTAGTTTTTTGAACCTTTCTTTTCCTCTTATTTAAGTTCTTTCTTCATCTTCAGATAGATGATAACAGTGTTCTTATTCATTTTTTACAAATTTGCATATGCAGCATATCACTTTTTTGCAGTTTTAAGATCCTTGAGTGGTCTTTTCCCTTCCTCTTTACTTTTTCTTACTGAAGTATGTGCAGAGTTTTGAAACTATTGTCATGTTATATTTATCTTTTGCTTTCTTTTTCCAGGAAGAGCTTCAGCTAGCCTTATTTCAAACTCCACATGGTGAGAATCTCTTTTTGGACCGGGTAAATGCACTTAAACTTCTGTTGCTAGTTCATCTCATGTTCTCTCTTGGGATATCTATCTCCATTCCATGAGAACAATGCTAGCATATTATATATGATTTGTGTTAGATTTGAATATGCTAAACATGCTAATTAATGCACTTTGATGTTTCAACTGAAAAAGATGGTTTATCTGATCGGTCTATATATGAACTGCCAGCTTTGGGGTTCTTAATCGATATGAATATGTCACATAACACATTACTATAGTTGGCTGTCCATGTCATTTATCAGCACATTTAGGTGGGTCAGATGGATCAATCATCTGAAGTTTTCCATATTCTATATAAGTAGGATAGTTATTTGTCAACTGTGCTGTTAGCTTTGTGGTTCTTTACATGTGATATCTTGTTTGACTGTATTGAGGACAAGCTGCTTTCTAATAGTTGAAATATATATCAGGGAAAGCTTAAAAATGAGGAAAGAGTTAAAAGAAATCTGCCTTGCATCAACTTGTCTGACCTTAATTTCTTTATGAAGAAATTGTCTTTAGTTTCATGTTGATGAACTTTCCAAGTTCCTTTTCTGCAGGTTTTTGACCTTTTCGATGAAAAGCAGAATGGAGTTATTGAGTTTGAGGAATTTATCCATGCACTTAATATCTTCCATCCATATGCTCCAATAGATGATAAAATAGACTGTAAGGAGTGTAAACCATTCTTTTAATTAATAGTTGTTCTATTCAAATCATCTGGTGTGTGTAATTCATTGTGATCACTTTTTTTTCTCTTGCAGTTGCCTTTAGGCTGTATGATTTACGACAAACGGGGTACATTGAGCGAGAAGAAGTGAGTAATTAAGTTTGACAATTTCTGTCAACAGCTTTGAAGTTCTTTTCTTCTCCAAAGATGTGATATTACCATATGCTTTTAAAATAACTACCCCTTCTATTCGAATCTAACAATTGCTGATAACATGTACTATTAGTTTGCAGACACTAGTGTTTTAAGTTCTATTTAGAAGTACTGGAAGCGAAGGAGAATAAATTTCGCTTACGTATTGCAGGCTATAAACTATAACATATGTTAAACGTAGAAAGTTGATTGATTCTGAAACTGAAACTAGAATATAGATCTCACTGATGATGTCTCAAAAAATACTTTGGATACAAAATGATTTGTTAAGTCAGACGGGAATGGTATTGTGAAGTGATTGATCATAAACTTAGACTGCATTATTTATATAGGAGAATATAATACTACTCTGAGTGTAATGGAAGTGGAGAAGAGTGAGCACAAGGTTCATACAGAGTATTGCCCCACAAGTAATTTACTTTAACTTATTAAAAGTTGTTACAGCTGATATATACAAAGCACAAGCATTGAGATTGACAATATTTTGGCTGCAGTGACCAGTTCTTAATAGCATTACATGCTTAGAAAGCATGTTTTTAACTTGGAAGTTTCTGAACTCCTAGTTTATGTGATCAGTTCCCTGGATGATACAATGCTGATCAAAACCTGATCAGTTATCCTTCTATTAAGCCAGAACAAACTCATTTTTTTTCTTCTATTGTCAAATAAGTGCATTTGTTATAGAAGTGAGTATATTGATGCAATAATGGTAAAAGGAAAGTAAATATATGGATGTAACCATTATTGTAGCTAATTATTATTTGTGCAGATGTTGATGCAATAAAGGTTGAAATCCAGAGATAGCATTTAAGTTTATGTTAACTGAAAGTTCATTGGCAGAACCCTGTGCATAGCTAGGTCTATGGTGTAATCTACTTGCAGTGTGCTGTGTTAAAGTTGATGTCAGATTTATTTTTAGATGCATTTATCCATGAATTGATTGGAAAGTTTCTTCATTTAGGTTAAGCAAATGGTAATTGCAATTCTGATGGAATCTGAAATGAGGCTATCTGATGAACTAGTTGAGGAAATTATTGATAAGGTATGCGTTTGTCAAGATGAATCTTTTCTCCAAACCCATGTCTGCTTATCATAATTTTTATGTCTCCGTCTTTCTGATAGACATTTGCTGATGCTGATGCTGATGGGGATGGCAAGATTGACAAGAAGGACTGGAAAGAGTTCGCTATCAGATACCCATCATTGCTGAAGAACATGACTCTGCCCTATTTGAAGTAAGTAAACTGTTCTTTTGCATCATGGCTACTGTGCTTTTATTATTGTTGATTTAACCACCTGATAATAGATCTAGATCTGATTCATTTCCTCTTGTTGCTGTTTTCTGTTTCTCTTTCCCCACACTTGTTTTGTTAAATAGGAAAAGGGAAAACTGAAGAGAAACTAAACCTCCCACCTCCAACCCCACCCCCACCCCTCCTCTCCCTCCAAAATCTGGTGTTTTGAACCCCAATCAAAGAAAGAAGTAAGCTTGTGGTAGGATGGTAGCTATTCATTATTGTTGGCTGATAGAGGATATTCTTGTCATCAAAGATATGATCCTATCAAAGATGTGATCGTTTAAGATCTTAGGATAATTGTGGATATCATTACTCTGATTTTTCTCTTAATGTAAAATATATATGATTCTGTATAATCCCTGATTTCATGGGATTTAGGTGGTTCTATTCCATAATCTCTTATGTATATATAAAGCCATGTAATATGACATAGAAATATATGTATGAAATTATTCAACAATCTTATTCCACATGGTATCAGAGCTTTAGGCTTATTCCTGACCAATTTTTTTTGATGACAAGGGAAACCCGCAGTCGCTACCCTTTGGGTGCGCACAGGGTAAAAACTCCACTCCTATGCAATAGCTCGCAAATCTTATAGGAGAGGTAACTCGCACTAGGCAAGCCTGGTGCACAAGCTCGACCCAGAAGGCAAACCCCTTGATTTCGCGGGCAAGGGGTTTCAAACTTGAGACCTCCAACATGGAAGTCACAAGCTCAAACCACTGGGCAACCCGAAGGGTATTCATGACCAATTTTGTTCATCCTACCTAGACAAAAACCCATTTTTGCTACCATGTCTGAAAATGGTACTGCCGCAAACATTCCAGTCTCTGAAAATGTTTTTGCAACCGTAGAGAATAACTCTATAGTTTCAACTAGAGATTTGGAACATTCAGCTTCAATATGTAGTTGTTCATCGGCTTTCACAAGTATTTCTTACTCTTTTATTACTTATGTCTCAGACAAACTTTCTCCAACGTGGGTGGTTGATTCTGGGGCAACTTATCACATGACCGGTCTCTCTCATCTCATCATATCATATTCCCCTTGTCCTAGCTATAAAAAAATAACTATAGCTGATGATTCAGTTGTCACTGTAGTTGGTCGAGGAGACATACTACTTGGAAAATCCTTGATACTTAAAAATTTCCTTCATATCCAAAGTAATCTGTAAATCTCATTTCTATCTAGAAACTCACCAAAGATTACAAATGTCAAGTAACTTTCTTCCCTTCATATTACTTATTTTGGATCAGAACACGAAGGAGATGATTGGGCGTGCTAGTGAGAAAGGTGGTCTTTATTGTTTGGATTTTCACAATGGTGAATATATATCTAAGAATTCCTTGTCTAGTTCATTCTTGTCTGAGTCTATTATGTTAAATAAAGAGAAAGTATGGCTTTATCATCGTCGGTTAGGTCACCCTTCCTTTTATGTAATCAAAAGGATGTTTCCATCTTTGTTCAAAGATTTGATTGTGGAGTCTTCTTTGTGATGATTGTGAAATTACAAAACACAAATGTAGTTCCTTTCCAATTAGTCACAAAAGATGTCAAACTCCATTCTCTCTTATTAATGATAACTGGTGACCCTCTCCGACTCCTAATATTTCTGGTGCTAGATGGTTTATGTCATTCATTGATGATTGTACAAGAGTTACGTGAATCTATTTGCTAAAGCAAAAATCTGATTTCAGTCAAATTCTTCCTACCTTTTTTAATATGATCAAAACCCAATATGAGGTGCCAATTAAAAGATTCCGATCAGATAATGCCAAGGACTACTTTAATTAAAACCTCTCTTTTCTTCCAAAAAGAGGTAATTATTCATGAATCTTCATGTGTCAATACTCCTCAACAAAATGGGATAGCAGAGAGAAGAAATGATCTGTTACTTGACATTACTAGATCATTGTTGTTTCACAAAAAGGTGCCAAAACAGTATTGGGGGGAAGTTGTCCTAACTGCTGCACATCTTAGAAACAGAATGCCATCAAGATTTCTGAACTTTCAAAGTCCGATTGATACTCTTAGGAATTTCTTTCTAAATTAGGAAATTTCCAATAAATTGGTTCCTAGAATCTTCGGAAGTGTTGCCTATGTTCATATTCATTCTCAAAATAGAGGCAAAATTAGATCCACGTGCTCTTAAGTGTGTTTCCATAGGATGTTCTCCTACTCAAAAAGGTTACAAGTGTTATCAACCGTCATCTAAGAAATTCTTTGTTTCAGCAGATGTCATATTTGATGAGAGTGAATCCTTTTTTAATCATTCTTACAATCTGGGGGAGTCATTGAAGGGAGAGGAACCTCTAGACTTGTCACTATTTGAGTTGTCTATTTCTAGTCATGCCAAATTCTTGCCTGAGTCACCATTTGTTCGGTCACCTGAGTCTATGAATCCAAACGAACCCATTGAGTCTCCTAATCCAAATATAGATAATGGAATTCTAGAAAATAATCTACCATTGCAGGTATTTTCCAAAAGAAAGAGACAGACTGATCAAACTAGTCAGTTGCAAGCATCTCCTCAGGTTACTACTTCTAATACCCATCCTAAACCTGCTGAACCGTCAGAACCAGCAAACTAAACTGTTCATGAAGTAGAATTTAACCAACATAATGACCTTGACCTTTCCATTGCACTCAGAAAAGGAATTAGATCTTGCACACAACACCCTTTGAGCCTTTTCATGACATAGCAAAATCTATCCCCAAGTCATAAAACTTTTCTCTGTAACCTCCACACAATTTCTATCCCCAGAATTTTGTCTGAAGCATTAGAAAATAAAAAACGGGAGAAAGCTATACAGGTAGAAATGGAAGAGTTGGAGAAAAACAAAACTTGGGATATTGTGAAATTACCAAAAGAAAAAAGGTTGATCGGGTGAAGATGGGTGTTTACATGAAATATAAGTCAGATGGGTCCATGAAAAGATAAAAAGCACCTTTGGTAGCAAAGGGTTATACACAGACCTGTCGAATTGATTATTTGGAGACCTTTGCCCCGGTTGCAAAAATGAATACAGTGAGAATCTTATTATCATTGGCTGCGGTTTTTAATTGGAACCGGCAACAATTTGATGTAAAAATTGCATTTTTACATGGAGACTTAGATGAGGAGATCTATATGGAGGTGCCACCTAGTTTTGAAAGCAAGAAGGGAATGGTGTGCAGACTGAAGAAGACACTTTATGGATTAAAACAATCACCTCGTGCATTTTTTGGAAGATTTACAAAGGTTATGATCGAACTAGGGTATCAACAAAGTCAAGGAGACCACACCTTGTTCATAGGACACTCAAAACAGGAAAGGTGACAATATTGTTGGTTTATGTGGATGACATCGTAGTAACAGGCGATGATTCAGAGGAGATACAAAATTTGAAAAAGTGTTTACTCAAGGAATTTGACATCAAAGAGCTTGGAAAAATAAAGTATTTTTGGGGAATCGAAGTGGCACACTCAAAACAAGGAATCTTTATTTTCCAACAAAATTATGTGCTTGATTTGCTGTAGCCAATTTATGCATGATCCTAGAGAAATGCATCTTCAAGCTGTCAATCAGCTTCCACAATATCTCAAAGGAAGTCCAGGAAAAGGAATATTATTCAAAAGAGGAGGAGACATGGTTTTGGAGGCTTATACAGATGCGGACTATGCTGGTTCATTAGTGGATCGAAGGTCAAGTTCAAGATATTGCACTTTCTTAGGAGGAAATCTAGTGACTTGGAGGAGTAAAAAACAAAATGTAGTAGCTAGATCAAGTGCAGAATCTGAGTTTCGATCTATGGCTATGGGAGTTTGTGAGTTGTTATGGTTAAAGATAATCCTTGATGATTTGAAGATAAGATGGGAAGGACCTATGAGACTATATTGTTACAATAAATCAGCAATAAGTATAGCTCATAATCTTGTACAACATGATTGCACTAAGCATATTGAGGTAGACAGACATTTCATTAAGGAGAAATTAGATAGTGGACTCATTTGTACGCCATTTGTATCTACAAAAGATCAGGTGGCTGATGTTTTAACAAAAGGATTACCAAACAATGTGTTTCAAGATTTAATAAGCAAGCTAGGAATGGAAGATATCCATTCACCTACTTGAGGGGGAGTGTTGGCTGATATAGGATATTCTTGTCATCAAAGATATGATCCTTTAAGATCTTAGGATAATCGTGGATATCATTAATCTGATTTTCTCTTAATGTAAAATATATGATTCTGTATAATCCCTGATTTCATGGGATTTAGGTGATTCTATTCCACAATCTCTTATGTATATATAAAGTCATGTATATGACATAGAAATATATGAATGAAATTATTCAACAATCTTATTCCACAATTATGTCTTTTGAATATACAAAATATTATGGACATCCTTTATTATGTGTAATCCTTTTTCTTTGTTCTGTTGCCTTTATGAACTCTCTTTTGTTCGTTGGTTCAGTTGCTCAGTCAAATTCTCTTCTCTCACTGGAAGAACATTTTATATGCACAAGGCCAAAAGAAAAATGTTTCTACTGTGCTGTTTTGCTTCCTTCTTTGGTAGCAAACCAGAGAAAACAAAACTTTTATATGTTCTCTTTCTACATCATACTGTACTTTCCATGAAAACTGTTGCGTTGATTAACCAAAAACCTCTAAAAATAATGTTTTCTTGTGCTTCATTTTACAGGGACATCACTACTTCATTCCCAAGTTTTGTCTTCCACACACAGGTTGAAGACATTGAGAAAATCCATTTGTTGTGACAAGTTGTGCACTAGCCATAGCGAGGAAATATGATCGGGACAGGGAACTCTGTTAATCTGGCTAAATGGTTCGTGTCATCCCTAGAAATGTCCTCCATTACAAAAGGGAACATGTTGATCATCAAGTCTAAAGCAGCAGCCAACAGCTCTTCTTCTACTAAAATGGCTTAAGCTGTCAGCCTGTTATAAGCATCTCATTCATTTTCAGAATCAATCTTCAAAAGTCTATTGTCTTAGATGGTGATTTAAGATGATCGATTGATAAATCATCACATGTATTTCTGCCTCAACCTAGCATCTAGTTACTATTTGCAGTGTACCCCCAAAAAAAAAAGGGAAAAAGAAATTGCCGTGTATATAAATTTTTACCATGAATTTGTGTATCTGGTTGTTATCAGTTTCCAATTCAGTGATTGATGTCCTGTTTAGATTGTTCATCTGTTAAGGTCCAATCTTCATACTGTACTTATCCTTTCTTTTACTGAGGAGATTTATACTTTGCTGCATATTGTAGGGTGTGTTTTTTCTGATCTGTGTTTGGATGGATTAATGCTCAATATATGAGTTTTCCATCTTCTGTTGCAATGCAGAATGCTTCCTTGGAGAGAATTGTTCAAGTTCAGGAAACAATATTATATTTTGGATAAGATAAATTAGGCTATAACTCAATAAAACCTTCAGATTGGTGCTCTGGAGATTAATTTGAGGAAACTTACGTAAATATACTATAATAAAAAAATATTTATCATTTATAGCAATAATATTTTTTTTCACTTGATCACTTTTAATTCGTTTATAATACACGTTTAATACATATTGCAAAGAATAATTTATTATTCACATATAATATAAATTTTAATGATGAATAATACATTTATCACACATTTTAATACACTTATAATATAAAATGTGATAATTTTTTACCAAACAAACATGATATATTTCAAAAAACAATTATAATTCACATATACTGCATAAATAATTCACTTTTAATACATATTACAGATTTAACAAAACATTTCTATAAATAGTAATAAACAAAAAATATCACTAAATCAGTAATTATTTTTTAAAATGTATTAATTTATATAATTTTTCCTTAATTTAGCCTGGGATATAACTTTATTGGAAAGAAATTGGGTTGGATTTGATAAAAATCGAGGTAGATTGGGCTTAATGTTAATTTTAGAGAAAAATCCATAAACAACTATAACTTGGAGCGTAATATCATTAGCAGCTATAATTTTGACTAATTACGAATTATAGTTACTATTTTGGTATTCCTCGTATACATGATATTAGTATATACTTTAGGCCATCTTTCGAGGAAACCTTGAAGTACTTTGTAAAAAGAAATAGACAAAAGGTGTTAGTTCCCGGAATATTCTGGATATCGGGGATGGTGTAATATTGGAAAAATTACATGGAAAAATAAACTTATATCAGAAATTACTTAAAATAGTTATGGTTTGCTTTACTTATCATTCGCCTTTTACTTTTTGTCAGTATTATCAGTTTAAGCGTGCCTTTTTTCCCCTTTTAACCCCCGTTTCACACGTTACTTGTGAGACTCTGCAGATTTTTTCTTTTAACTTTTTTTCACCATAAATTTAAAATTTCTACCTTTGCCTCTCAAGTTGTTCTCTCAGATTTTCCAGGTAATTATTTTTCCGATTTCATGCTTATTTCATTATCTTGTATTTTATATTACTGCTAACTTTTTTGTTCTTTTTCAGTTTTTCTGTTTTATACATCCAAAATGAAGAAAAAACACCTTCTAAGAGAATCATTAGAGTTATACAGTCGAATCAACAATTTTTGTATGATTTTCCATCTTTTTCTTTGGGTTTAACTCAGGATGTCGAAGAAATTTCAGGATCCATGACTAAATCTTGAATTAATCAACAAGATCGTATGTCGAAATTTGGTAATACCCCATTGAAGATGCAGGAAGTCATGCATATTGCAAATTCAAAAGGAAAGACAAAAAAAAGTGAATAAACATAAAGAAGACAAATCTGTTGATGTTTTGACTTCAGCGAACAAGCGTAAAGTAAAAGAGATTGCATCTACAAGCATTAAACAAGACAAATCAGTTGAAGTTTTGGATTCAAAAAAGAAGCGTAAAGTAAAAGATATTGCATCTACTAGTAATATAGAAGATGCCCAATCTGATTCAATTGAATGACTACATTTTGAAAGAATTGAGGTAAGTTGTAGATGTTTTAAGTTCACATCTAAAATTGTACGCATATCTTAACTGTTTGAATATATTTGTATCTCTATATACAAAAATGAAATTCTATATTCAAGTTGTTGTTGCATTATTTTGATATTTGTGTTATACTTGTTGATAAATTATATAAATTATGTTTTAATTGTATTCATATTTGTATAACTTTTTATATATATATATAGATATTCACTTTGTATAACTTTGAATTTGTATATAGATATTTACTTTTTATAACTTTGTATTTGTATATAGATATTCCCTTTGTATAACTCTGTATTTGTATATGGATATTCACTTTGTATAACTTTGTATTTGTGTATAGATATTCATTTTGTATAAGTCCGTATTTGTATATAGATATTCACTTTGTATAAGTCTGTATTTGTATACAGATATTCACTTTGTATAGTTCTGTATTTGTTATACAGTTTATGCTATTTGTCTTGTATAATTATATATTTGAAATTGTATAATACATTTACATTATTTATTAGGGAGTACAATTTTTTCTCAAGGAAGATTCACTTTACACAACACACGTGCAATGTTATACCAATATTGGGGTAATGGATCAATTACGCTCCAAATTGCCTTCAGTTGAGTTCAATCAATTTTGCGCATCATCTTGTTTTGCTCAAATATCAAGTATGTATTGTTGTCATGTTCAAGCACAATTGTTTAGATGTTTTATGTTGCGAGAGGTAGAGGGTAGTTCTTCTAATGTCATTACATAAATGGTACCACTCTACGTTTCACCCGTAGAGATTTCTGTCTTGTTTCTGAGCTTAAATGCAGTGATGATCTGTCAACATTTATGTTCACACTGAAAAAACAAATAGACTTCTTCAGATGTATTTTCAGAAGAAAAAAAAGTGTATCAAAAGCAGAATTTGTTTAGAGTTTTAATAATAAGGTATGGGGTGATAACGATGAAAATGCATTGAAGTTTGGAATTCTGTATTTCAAACATTCTTACATTCTATCTGAAGAGTCATTCTCTACAACAATTGATCGAATCGACTTTGACTTGGTAGAATCTGAAATGTATATGGATTATTCATGGGGTAACAAAGCTTTTGAGGAGCTAACAAAAAATTTGATTGGAAAAAATGAACAAAACAGGGAAGTACTACAAAATTCATGAATTTCCTATTGCTATTCAAGTGTGATTTTGTGAGTGTTGTTCACAAGTAGACAAAAAAATGGTTGTTAAAAAATCTGACCATATTCCTAGAATTCTCAATGGAATCACCAAAAAGGATTATCCCCGCATTGATTACTTCATGAAAGAAATGTTTCACGATGTCAATAATTCGGTATGTACTTTTGCCTACTTTTAATATGTGTTGTTCTTTATTTTATATACAAATATTGTTTATCATATTTATACATATACAATAAGTAGAACTTTCATTTTTATACATGTACAAGTGTTTATACATATATAAATTTTGTGTTCTTCGTAAATAATGTATGTAGTTACTCACTAATTATACATATATATATATATATATATATACACACACACATATACATACACATATATATATATATATATATATATACATATACATACATACATACATATATATATATACATACATACATACATATATATATATACATACATACATACATATATATATATATATATATGCAATGATTTTGTTATAAATTTCAGATTACTTTTCGGAACATAACTCCAACTCCATTGAAAATTGCAATCATTCCATTGCCGCCAGATTATGTCCAATCTGATACAGCTTCACCATCAGTAGCACCTTCCAACATTGAAGCAGATGATGTTATACAATCTCATGAGTCATATGATGACTTTCAAGACCCTCCGAAATCAATTAACAACAAGGGAAAGAAAAAAGTTGTATCTGATTCTGATATCTTAACTATCAAGAAGCGGCTCAGGCAATTTGTCTAGGTTATACCAAAAATCCCACCCAAAGTTGTTCAAGATCACGATACACAAATGCCACAAACATGCAATGCCCCAGTCTCTCCATCAGTGAAGACTCGACGTGTGAAGCACATAAAGCAACCTGTTGTTATTGTAACCAAGCCAGCCATCAAACAATTGCCTCTCAAACGTAAAAAATCAAATGCTACAGGTGTTACAACATCGAACAACGATTCATCTCAAATCAACATTTCGCGTGCTGAATTTGATTCATTCAAATTGTCTGTAAGTATAATATTATTGCACATATTGTTGTATATTTATTTTTAAAATTTTTGAAATTCTTACCTTCATGTATTTCTAGGTAAAAGAATAGTTTACAAATTTAAGAAAGTTGATAAAAAAAACAACATCAATGTTGTACTGAATGCCATTATAACAAAAAATTAACTGCGAAGGTTTTGTATTCAAACATATAATTACATTTGTTATATAAATTCAATTGTGCATGTTGAGTTTTGAATGTTTATTTCAGGATTCTGATACAGAAATTTCACCAAAATCTCCAATTGGGCATGCCACAGTCACCTATACACTCTCCATCTTCAAGTTTCAGACAACGACGTTCGAATGAAATGAATAACTTAGAGAACATGAGGTAATTCAATAATATCCAAATGTATATGTACAACTTTCCACTGTTTATTTCTGTTATTACGTATATATACAAATTGTAATCTAAATTTTTTACACAATATTTGTTTGCATAATTGTTATACAATATATGTTCATATGTTAATTTTTGAACGTCGTACTATTTTTGTATATGTATTTATATTTTTAAGCCTATTGATCAGTCTTTGAAACTTTTTATCATTGATGAATTATCACCGAATGAAAAGATTTTGGAGGTTTGATTTTTTTTCCTGTTGTCTTTGTATACTTTTGTTTGTATTTGATATATTTTTAGAAATTAATTAAATCCAAGACTGTTGGTCAATCTTTGAAGGTTTCCATCATTGACGAGTTATCACCAGATGATACAATTGTAGAGTTTTCATTATGAACTTATATGATGTTTTTGTATATGTCTATATACATTGATAATTTTGTATCTTGAATTTATGAAAATTTGTTTCAGGATTCTGATTTAGAAGTCCCATCGAAATCTTCAATTGGGGGTGTGCCACAGTCACCTATAAGTTCCGGACTACAACGTCCAAATGAAATGAATAACTTAGAGAACAGTGAAGTAATTTAATATTATTTGAACGTATATGTGCAACTTTTAACTGTTTATTTTTATAATTACATATATATATATATATAAATTAAAATCTATATTTATTATGCAACAC